TGACAAATGCCGACAAAGGACCCGAAGCACCAAGAAGTTGACCATCCAGCGTTTCCCCCGTATCCTCGTGCTACGTATCCTTTCCCATTATTTGCTTCTCTGTCCCTCCTGCTTTTTTGAGGGAAGATAATGCAGGAGAAAGAGGGAGAAAGGTGACGTGTTTTAAACACCCCCTTCCCCCTCTGGAGTGAGCGAGATGGGCTGCCTAAAAAAAAAAATCAACATTGGCAAAGCCGTGAGTTATCCCCTCCTTGACCTCCAGTTTTCTCAGATCTCAACCGGTTTTCCACCACCCGCTATTCCATTAAGAAATGCTCTGTTTATGTGGATTTCCCCCTCCAGCAGCTCAACCTGAAGGAGTTTGCCAGCGAAAAGGCCGGTAAGTCATCTCCTGAATTGGGAACGAATTCTTTCTGGGTGTTATTATTATTTTTTTTTAGAATAGAATTCTTCATTGGCTAAGAATAAGAGTAGGCTAGAATTAGAGTGGGAAAGAGGAGAAGAGAACAGAGAATAGAGAAGAAATAGAATAGAGATGGAATGGGATGGAATAGGAATAGAATAGGATAGAATAGGAATAGAATAGGATAGAATAGGATTCAGAATAGAATAGGATTCAGAATGGAATAAAATAGAATAGAATAAGAGTTTAGAATAGAATAAGAATTAGAATAGAATAGAATAGAATAGAATAGGATTCAGAATAGAATAGGATTAAGAATAGAATAGAATAGAATAGAATAAGAGTTTAGAATAGAATAGGAATAGAAATAGAATAAATAGAATAAGGGTTTAGAGTAGAATAGGAATAGGAATAGAATAGAGTAGAATAAAAAATAGAATAGAATAGAGAATAGAGTAGAATAGAGTAGAGTAGAGTAGAGTAGAATAGAATTCTTTATTGGCCAAGTGTGATTGGACACACAAGGAATTTGTCTTTGGTGCCTATGCTCTCAGTGTACATACAAGCAACAAGTGATAAATCATGGTCATAATCATAAGATAAATTCATCATAAATCCCATGATACAAACACAAAGTGATAGTCATAAAATGCTAAAGGAATTAGGCAATAGAAAAGATGAGAAGGATAAGGACAGTGTTGTGGGAATTAGTTGTTTAGCAGGGTGATGGCGTGGGGGATAAACTTGTCTTTGTGTGTAGTCGTTTTGACGTGCAGTGCCCTAGAGCGTCGTCTTGAGGGACTTGGGAGGCAGAGAATAGATGGGGGTGGGGCCAGTCAGAATTTTTACTACCAGTTCTCCGAACTACTCAAAATTTCTGCTACCGGTTCTCCAGAACTGGTCCAGAACTTGCTGAAACTCACCTCTGATCCGTGTATGTCACGCGCCGTTTTCTCTCTTTTGAAGGCACCCCCATATATAACCTGTACGCCTTGTGCAACCACTCTGGAAGTGTCCACTACGGTCATTACACAGCCTTCTGTAAGGATCAATCCGGCTGGCGTGTCTTTAACGATTCCCGGTAAGCCTGCGTGTGGAATTTAAACGTTGCACATAAACAGTTGAAACTTGGGTGGGAGTTCTCAGCGACGTGTGGAGAAACAAAATCCATCAAATTACAGGTAGTCCTAGACGTAACAACCTTCTGACAAACCAAGTCAAGGGGGAAGCCAGATTCACTTAACAACTATGTTACCAACTTAACACCCTTAACTGCCCTCAGTCTCCGGAGAAGGGCGGCGTATAAATCGAACCAATAAATAAATAAATAAATGACTGCAATGATTCGCTTAACAACCGTGGCAAGGAAAGTTGTAAAACGGGGCAGAATTCGCTTAAGAGCTGTCTCCACTGTGCTGTACAGTAGAAGCCATTTTAAGGCAGTCCAGTAGAAGCCATTTTAAGGCACAACAACCTGTATCTTAATAGAACACACACCTCAAGGGGGTGTCTTACCCCACAGTATTTCTTTCCAGAGAGTTAAGTCATCTGTGTACCAAGTTTGGTTGAAATTGCTCAAGGCGTTCCAGAGTTATGCTGGAACACACACACACACACACACACACACACACAAACACACACCGAGGGGTCTTAGGGGTGTCTTACCCCCACAGTGTTTGTCTCCAAAGGGTAAGTCACCTGTGTACCAAGTTTGGTTGAATTTGCTCGAGGCGTTCCAGAGTTATGCTGGAACATACACACATACATCCCTTTATATAGAGAGAGATTAAATTAAAAAAAATTAAAAACAAAACAAATGTCTCCCTTAACAAAAGGAATTTTGGGCTGAATTGTGATCGTAAATTGAGGACTACCTGTATTAACTCTCCCTCCCCCTCTTTCCCGCAGGGTGTCCCCGATCAACGAGAACCAGGTCCCCTCCAGCGAAGGTTACGTACTTTTCTACGAGTTGGAAGACTTGCACTGGAAGAAACCGTAAAAAGGAAGGAAGGAAAAAAAAGAAGTATTGATTTCCAGCCCTTTTCGACCACGAAGCCCCCTCTTTACCTCAGAGACTCGGCTCGTGGCTCTTTTTAACCTTCAGAGAAAAGGAAGAAAGAAAAAAAAAAGCGGTGGGGGAAAAAAAAAAGAATTAATAAAACCCAAGAAGCAATTACCCGCGTGAGGTTTGTTTCTCCCAAAGGCTGGATCTCCACTTCGGTTTCCTACTGGTTTTTGTTTTTTTTTAATTCAGATTTCTTTTGGCTTTTTTAAAAAAAAAAGTTTTATTTTTATTTCCTCTTGCCTCTGTGGAGCTTTTCCTTCGCTCCTGAATCCCGCCAGAGTTTTAAGATTAGAAGGGGGGGAGAGAGAAAAAAAAAGATTTTGTTGGGAGGAAAAAATGAGGATTGGATAGACGATGTGAAGCGAAGCGGCTTTTTTCCTTGTCCGCGCATCCGTTTTTTTTTTTTTTTTCCCTTTTTTCCCCCCCCTCCCCCCCTTCCCGGGCCCCCCCCCCCCCCTCGCAACCCTCAGGGCCAAACTAAGGTGTGCTATGACGCACCCCCCCCTTCCCTCGGTCAGAGACTGGGGTGTCGCGCTCAGTTTTAACAACTTTCTACACAATGAAGGGTTTGTTGTTGTACCTTTGCAGTAGATGACTTGAGAGAAAATGAAGAGATTGAAACTTTTTTGTGAATAAATTTATTTAACAAAAAAAAAAAAAAGGAAACGCCTCGCGTTGTCTTGGTTCTTTGGGGGGAGAGGGAGGCGTGTCCCGAAAAAGGAACGGCTTTTTGAAAAGGGTCTTTGAGTTGTGGGAGGGTCCCTGGGAGGAATTTGGGGACTGGGAATTCCCTGAGTTTAACTGATGCAATAATCCGATGCGGATAGAACTTCCTAACTGACATGGTGGAAACACGGTGGCTCGGTGGTTAAGACGCTGAGCTTGTCGATCGAAAAATCGGCAGTTCAGCGGTTCGAGTCCCGAACGCCACGTAATGGGGTGAGCTCCCGTGACTTGTCCCAGCTTCGGCCAACCTAGCAGTTCGAAAGCACGTAAAAAATGCAAGTAGAAAAATAGGGATCACCTTCGGTGAGAAGGGAACAGCGTTCCGTGCGCCTTTGGCGTTGAGTTATGCCGGCCACATGACCGCGGAGACGTCTTCGGACAGCGCTGGCTCTTCGGCTTTGAAACGGAGATGAGCACCGCCCCCTAGAGTCGGGAACGACTAGCACATATGTGCAAGGGGAACCTTTACCTTTAATTGATACGGAAACCTTGGAAGATTGGGAGTCATTCTGACCAGATGTGAAACACACAACACTCTCTTGGCTCTGCTGGAATTGATGAAGTGAGATAGACTGCGTCTCAGTGCGGAGGTTCCATGAAAGACATCAACGCTCAACGGCCGTTGAGAATTGCCATTTTCCATCCCATTGTTGGATGCCCAGGACATTAAAACACTCTTTAACAACCTTAAGCCATTTGGACCCGTTTCCCACAGAAAAGAAAACGCCGGGAGCCACAAAAACCCTTCCCGTGCCTGACTTATTTCTTGAGCGGCCACAAAACTAGCATCTGTAGTTGAATTAAACATTTAAATTAAACAGTTAAATTAAACTTTTCTTGGATTTATCCATGGTTGGCCTACCGGGGGTTGGAAAGCTCAATAAATTGCGTGCAGGCGGGTGTTGCACATTGGCAATTGTGATGCATATTTTGAGTGACAAGGAGCCGCAGCAGAGGGGTGAAAGAGCCACATGCGGCTCCAGAGCTGCAGGTTGCTGACCCCTGCTTTAGGATAAAAGTCTGTGTTTGTGTGTCTGTTTCTCTGAGTGCATGTGTGTAGAGGGGGTTGTAGTAATTCCGGCGCAATTCTGAAACCGGGTAGCGAGATAGGAGGCATATAAAGTTAATAATAATCATTTATAATATCATTTCATTGATATTAGTAATTTTTTTAAAAAATCCCTGTATTCTGAATTTACGGTAGTCCTTGCAACCCATCCGGAACCGCCTCATTGGGGTCAAATTAGCACACGAGCTCACTCGGGATGTAGAACCTCCAGCGACAGAGGAAGTCTATAGTCATGGCCTGAATATTTTTAAAAAATAGCATTCAGTGAATAGGGACAGCAGCAGGTGGTTCATTGGAAACTCTTGTGAGCCAAAATATAATTCTTTTAATTAGTAGAAGAACCGAGATGATGAATAATGGTATTAATTTATAACGCAAATATAAATTTGCGCACAACAACCCTGCAGTGTTGTGCAATCGCACCTTAAGATCATGTCAAAAGGAGCTAAAAATCCTAGTCCTCATGAATTTATCTCTTGTTAGATTACCGGTAGGAACTCTTTATTAGATCTGATCGATTTGCTTAATTAAATTTTTTTTAAAATTAAAAGTCTTGAGAATAAAAGAAAATAAAAATTGCTCAATGCAATTTCTCACCACTTCCGTCAACATTCCAAAGTCTCCGCCCACGCCCCCGGCCACGCCCCGCGAGGCCTCCGATTGGAGGCCATCGGTCCAATCAGGGAGGCGTTACGTCATCTATCGTTTCGACCAATCCCGGCCGGAGAGGGCGGAGCTCGCATCGCAGATGTCCTTGGTTGGGGGACTGGAAGCTCTTGAGTTCGCTCCGCGTGGGAAAGGCAGGTTAGAGGGGGCCGCCGCGACACGCGTGTCATCTCTGGTCGTCTGAATGCACCCGAGAGTTGGAAAAGGCGGGATTTGCACGCAGGAGGGATTATTTTTTTGCAAAATTGGGGTCAGGAGAAGGGAAAAGCGGGGGAGGGGGAGGAAAGCTTGCTGGAGGTGGAGATTGACGCCTTTGGGTGGGTTGGAAGGCAGGGAAAAAAGGCATTTTATCTAGGATTAGGCATGGGAGAGGGATTATTCAATCCAGGATCGGTGCAACCCCAAAACTTCACAGATTAACGCCCTGCCTGCAAGGTTCAGAAAGGGAAGATCCGTAAGAAGTGAGAGTTAAGACGTGTGTGTGTGTAAAATGGACTCCTAGCAGGAGGGACCGAGGCTGGGTGGGAGGGGAGAATCTAATAATAAGAGGTGGAAATAATAGTTAGTTGGTTGGTTAGTTTGGTTTCTTTCTTTCTTTCTTTCTTTCTTTCTTTCTTTCTTTCTTTCTTTCTTTCTTTCTTTCTTTCTTTCTTTCTTTCTTTCTTTCTTTCTTTCTTTCTTTCTTTCTTTCTTTCTTTCTTTCTTTCATATTGCCGCCTATTCGCCCATGATAATAAGAGGTGCAAATAATAGTTGGTTAGTTTGGTTTTTTTCTTTCTTTCTTTCTTTCTTTCTTTCTTTCTTTCTTTCTTTCTTTCTTTCTTTCTTTCTTTCTTTCTTTTTCTTTCTTTCTTTCATATTGCCGCCTATTCGCCCATGGTAATAAGAGGTGGAAATAATAGTAAATTTATTTATTTATTTATATATATGTAGAGATATAGAGATATAGATATAGATATAGATAGATATAGACATACATACATATATTGCCATCTATTCGCCCATGGTGACTCAAGGCAGCTTACAGAAGTTAAAGCTGCATGTGGATCAGCTTCTGATTTTACTACTTTTCCTTCCTTCCTTCCTTCCTTCCTTCCTTCATTCCTTCATTCATTCATTCATTCATTCATTCATTCATTCCTTCTTTCCCTCTCTCCCCACCCCTTTCTCCCTCTTCCCATCTCTTCCTTCCACTTCCCACCTTTCTTCCTCCCTTCCTCTTTCCCTTCCTCCCTCCCTCATAACAGAGTTGGAAGGGAACTTGGAGGTTTTGGAGTCCAACCCCCTGCTTAAGCAGGAGACCCTACATCGAAGGAAGGAAGGAAGGAAGGAGAAGCAAGGGGAGGAGGAAGGGGGAAGAGGAGAAGGAAAGGAGGACAAGGAAGGAAGGAAAGAAGGAGAAGCAAGGGGGAGGAGGAAGGGAGAGGAGTGGAAGGGTGGAAGGAAAGAAGGAAGGAAGGAGTAGCAAGGGGGAGGGGGAAGGGGGAAGAGGAGAAGGAAGGAAGGAGAAGGAGAAGCAAGGGAAGAGAGGAAGGAAGGAAGGAGAAACAAGGGGGAGGAGGAAGGGAGAGGAGTGGAAGGGTGGAAGGAAGAAGGAGTAGCAAGGGAAGAAGAGAAGGAAAAACAAAAAGAAAAACCACTTTTACCCAGTTTGGGGGAATTCCCCGGGATTTTTGGAAACCCAACTTGATCGCATCCTGTCTCCTTTCAGATTTCCTTCTGATGCAGCTGAAAGTAGCTGTCCTGGGCGGAGGAGGAGTGACGGGCCTCGCCGCTTCCTATTACCTTGCCAGAAGCTCGCTAGCATCTAAGGTGAGAACTTGCCCCTCGAACCAGTCAGTCAACCAGTGTGATTGATTGCTGTCAAAGATCGGTCTTTTATTTATAGAATATAAAATTTAGGAAAGGGGTTGAACTCCATTTGTGAAATAACCCACGTCGCATCTAATATTCAAAATATAAAATCGAGGCTTTGGCCTACATCAGATACATTTGTGAAATAAGCCATGTCACATCTAATATACAAAAAGGTAAAGGTTTCCTTTTTGGTCATACGCCGAGGACTACCTACCTGTATGGGTGTTTTGGCCCGTTGGAAATTAAGAGGGGGGAAAGAGAGGATTCTTAAAACGACTCACAATCAGATTCAAAACGACTCACAGATTTTAATTAGGTTTTAAAAATGGGACTTTAAATTTGGGGTTTTAAATGGAGCCTATCATTTAATAATTTTAATTATTTTAAATTTTGTCTGTCTTTGTGCTTTAAATCAGGCTGTACACCGCCCTGAGTCCTTCGGGAGAAGGGCGGTATAGAAATAAAATAAATAAATAATTAAATAAATAAATAAATCAGGGCCAAAACAACTGTACAGGAAGTCCTTGACGTACGGCTAACTCAATCTATCATCATCATCATTTAATCCCTTGCGAGGTGGAGTTTGGGCAACTGAATGGAGCTAGCCGGATTAATGGCCGGATGCCTTTCCTGTTGCCAGGGCGGAGTTTTGTTTAGTAGATAATATTCTCATGGTGCCCAGAGAGAGAGAAATATCTGCCACTACCTAGGATCGAACTCACCGCCTCCTGATTGTCAGGCGAGAGCTCTACCTCTAGGCCACTGCACTGTACCTCTTATTCTCTTTTTCCTGGCTCTCCCCCCTCCCCCCATATACAGGTCACCCTTTTGGAGGGCAGCAATCGGTTGGGGGGCTGGATTCATTCCACCCAGACAGAAGATGGGGCTGTTTTCGAACACGGCCCCCGAGGGATCCGACCTGCCGGACTTGTAGGGAAAAACACCCTTCTGATGGTAGGTTGTTCAGGTGATTGAGCCAAGCGTAGTCCTCGAATTAGAACGACTTATTTGAAGTTTGCAACGGCGCTGAAAAAAAGCGACTTGGAAATAGTCCTCACCTTACGACCATTGCAGCGTCCTCAGAGTCACGTGATCCAAATCTAAGTGCTTGGCCACTGGCATGTATTTACGACAGTGGCGGGGTCCTGGGGTCACACACGATCCCCGTTTTGTGACCTTCCCTGGAGGCCTCCAGCAAGCAGGGTTGATGGGGAAAGCTGGATTCACTTAACAACCGGGCGAGTCCCTTAAGATGGACTCACTTTTACGCCCGTGTGATTCACCCGAGCCAGGATTTGATTAACGACCATGGTTAAAAAAACAGCAACAAGGGTCATGAAATGTGGTCGATTTTCTTAGTAGTTGGCTTGCTCGGCAAAGGAAATTGTGGTCTCAGTTGTGTTGCTGTGTGTGCAAGGGGTGTGTGTGAGAGAGAGAGAGAGAGAGAAGGAGGGAGAGGGAAAGAGAGAGAAAAAGAGAATGTGAGAGAGAGAAAGAAAAAGAAAGAAACAGGGAGAGAAAGAGAGTGAAAAAGAAAGAGAAACAGAAACAGAAAGAGAAACAAAGAGAAAGAAAAAAGAGAGAAACAGAAAGAGGTATCGAAAGAGAGAGAGTGAAAAAGAAAAACAAAGAAGCAAAGAAAAGAAAAGAGAAACAGAACGAGAGAAAGAAACAAACAGAAACAAACACACAGAGAGAGAAATAGAGAAAGAGAGAGTGAGAGTGAGAGTGAAAAAGAGAGAAAGAGAGAAATATGTATCGAAAGAGTGAAAAGAAAGAAAGAAAAAACAAAGAAAAAGAAAGAAGAGAATGAGAGAAAGAGAAAAGAGAAAGAGAGAAACAAACAAAAAGAGAAACAAACAGAAAGAGAGAGTGAGAGTGAAAAAGAGAGAGAAAGAGAAACAGAGGTATCGAAAGAGAAAGAGAGTGAAAAAGAAAAAGAGAGGAACGAGAAAGAGAAACGAGAAACAGAAACAAACAGAAAAAGAGAAACAGAAACACACAGAGAAATACAGAAAGAAACAGAAACAGAGAAAAAGGAGAGAAACAGAAACACACAGAGAAAGAGTGAAAAAAAGAGAGAAAAAGAGAAAGAAAGAGAGGTGGGGGGAGGAGAGAGAATGAGATCATCCCACATTGAAATTACGGTGACATTTCCTGGTGCAAATGCAACGATGTCGTGATTTTATTCTAGATTTCGGAGCTTGGGTTAGAAGCCGACGTTCTTCCCGTTCCGGGAAACCATCCAGCTTCGAAAAATCGCTACCTCTACGTTGGAGGTTCCCTTCACAAACTCCCTTCCGGCATTAAGTACGTTCATCCTTCCACAAAATCCAATAGTTTTGTTTTGTACGGGTGGGTGGGTGGAGGAGAAAATGCATCCTTTTTCATTCGCAATAACAATAATATTGCTGTGTGGGGTCCTTGGCGGTCTCTGAGGCTTGGAGGTTTTCTTGCGGACGTTTCATGACCCAGCTAAGTAACATCATCAGTGCTTAAAGCCTCTGAGCACACAAGCCTTCGAGCACTGATGATGTTACCTAGTTGGGTCATAAAACGTCTGCAAGCAAACCTCCAAGTTCAGAGAGCACCAAGGACATCACAAGCCTCCTCCCGTTCCTTCCTCCTCTCCTCCTCCTCCTCCACTCCACAATCCCCATTCCTTTCTAGCACTGATGATGTTACCTAGTTGGGTCATAAAACATCTGCAAGAAAATAAGCTTATAGAGAGCACCAAAGACCCCACAGTTGTCTCCTCCTCCTCCTCCTCCTCCTCTCCTCCTCCTCCTCCTCCCTCCTCCTCCTCCTCCTCCTCCTTCTTTCTCTTCTCCTTCTTGTCCTTCTCCTTCTTTCTCCTTCTTCTCCTTCTTCTCCTTCTCCTCCTCCTTCTTCTCCTTCTCCTTCTTCTCCTTCTCCTTCTTCTTTCTCCTTCCTCTCCTTCTCCTTCTTTCTCCTTCTCCTTCTCCTTCTTCTCCTTCTTTCTCCTTCTCCTTCTTCTTCTCCTCCTTCTTCTCCTTCTCCTCCTCCTTCTCCTTCTCCTTCTTCTTCTCCTTCTCCTCCTTCTCCTTCTTCTCCTCTTTCCCTCTTCTTCCTCCTCCTCCCTCCACTCCTCAAGCCAACTCCATTCTGCCACTGATGCTGTTACTTAACTGGGTCATGAGACGTCTGCAAGAAAACCAGCAAGCTCAGAGACCACCAAGGACCCCTCTTTTCAACCCCGAGCTACAAATATGCTCCTCCATCGACAATATTTCTTCTGTTTCAGGGGCATTTTCCAGACGGTGCCTCCGTTCTCCAGTCCTTTCATCTGGAGTGGGTTGAAGGAACTGTTTGCCCCTCGTGGAAAGGAACCGGATGAGACCATCCACGCTTTCGTGGCCCGTCGTTTTGGCCAGGAGGTATATATACAAAAGGATGAAGGCTATTGCTTAACGCATTGTAAGCCGCCCTGAGTCTCCAGAAAATGGCGGCATATAAATCAAACCAATAAAATAAATAAATAAATAAATAAATAAATAAATAAATAAATAAATAAATAAATAAATAAATAAATAAATAAATAAATAAATAAATAAATTTCCACGAGCCAGGAAACCCTTCTTAACTCACACCCCAAAAAATCTCTTTGTTTTAGAGGTCACCCTGTTTCCGCCCAACTCTTAGCTCTGCCCTTCTGCCTTTTAACCTCTGTGCTTCTCGTGCAAAAAAATAAGTCATTTTTTTTCCAGGAGAAAATTCACTTGCTAAGTTTCCGCATCCTCTTAAATTAAAACACAGGAAAAAAATAAAAAATTAAACTGGGGAAGTTCATTTTCCAAACACAGGGAAAAATAGAAAATAAACCGAGAAGCCCATTTTCCAAACATGGGAAACAAATATAGAAAATCAACTGGAAAGTTCGTTTTCCAAACACAAGAAAAATAGAAATTAAATGGAGAAGCTCAATTTTCAAAGTACAGGGAAAATAATAATAATAATAATAATAATAATAATAATAATAATAATAATAATAATAATGAAACGAGGAAGCTTTGTCCCCGTAGTCTTTCTGTGGTGCTGCCTTGCAAAACAACCCCCGCATGCAGAAATCTAGGGTGTCAGGGTTTGGGGCAGCATTGTGCAAAAGCAGAAGAAAATTGTGGGAAAATGGTAACGAAGCTTAAACCAGAGGAGAACTTTTCTTTAAAAAAATAAAGAGTATTTTTGTTAAGGCTGGTATTTTGAAAGGTGGGGCAAAGAGGAAGGAGGACAGGGTGGGAATCCTCCTGCCTTATCAGCTCGATGCAGGGGAGGCTGTCCTTCTTTTAAAATAATGTTTCTTTCTGTACGGGATGATGGGAGACTAGAGAAATATAGAATAATTTATTGGCCGCTTCAGCCTGGGGAAAAACAGACTAGCCAATGTAATATAATCATATTATTTATTAAATGTATATGTTGCCTGACTCGCAGTGCCTCTATTTTTAGCAAGCTACAGGGAGAATAAAATAGAATTAGAATTAGAATTAGGAATAGGAATAGGAATAGGAATAGGAATAGGAATAGGAATAGAATAGGAATAGAATAGAATAGAATAGAATAGAATAGAATAGAATAAAACAGAACAGAACAGAACAGAACAGAACAGAACAGAACAGAACAGAACAGAATAGAATGTAAGATATAGAATTATATTTACAGAATTATATATACAGGGAGAATAAAATAGAATTAGAATTAAAATAGAATATAAAATATAAAATATAGAATGGAATGGAATGGAATGGAATGGAAAGTAAAATATAGAAGAGAAGAGAAAATAGAAGAGAAGAAAATATAGAATAGAAGAAAAAAGAGAATTAGAAGAGAATAGAATTAGTTTTTTAAAAACTGGTTTTTTTCTTTTTTTTTTTCCTGGAAAAGCTCTTTAAAAAGTTTTTTTTTAAAAAAGATATAAGGCCGATGGCCGAAGGAATTGTAACAATTGGGCGATGAGAATGGTGAAATGCAGGCTGTGCGGGTTGTAAGTCCGAGGACTGGTTGCAAGTCCGAGGACCGGGTTGTAAGTTGCTTTTTTCCCCTCCCAGCACCGTCATAACTTGGAACGGTTGCTAAGTGAATGTCCGTAAATCGAGGAATGTAATTTAATTTGGTGTTGTTTTCTCTTGTCAGATGGCTGATATAACTATAGATAGTCTCTGCCGGGGAGTTTTCGCGGGAGATTCCCGAGCGTTGAGCATCCGTTCCTGTTTCCCGACCTTATTCCTGGCCGAGCGGAAACACGGTTCAGTTATGTTGGGCATGATCCGTGCCAAAAGTGAGTTTTTAAGGGGGGGGGGAGGTCATTGTTCTGCCCCAGCTACGGACCCCAAAGAACGCAGCACACACGAAGTCCATACAAACCTTAAGTTTGCTAAATTAAATCAGTCTTTTACGAACAAAGGCTGTTAATTAACTTCATTAACAGCCTACAAGAATCCAAAGAATAAATAATCGTAATCTTACTGTGGTTGGCAGAATGCCCAGAAGCAATTTGCAGGAAACTGATAAGATAAGAAGATCAAGACGCGAAAGAGATGTGAACGAAGTTGTTCCCTGCAAATTGCTTCAGTTGGGGTTCCTCCTTAAATAGGCTAAGGGAGTGGCCAATTAGCCCCAAGCCTTACTCTCGAGGAGACCTCCTCCTGAGGAGCCACTCCTGCCTTTTGGCAGCTCTGCGCGCCCGTGCATCGAGAAGAGGCTCCTCCTCTTCGTCCTCTTCACTTAAGGGAGCTTCTGGAGGTTCTGAAGGCCCTGGCGGAATCCCCGCCTCTGGCACCACATCTTCTCCAGCCTCCTCACTGTCCGACTTGAGCGCCAGCTGCACAGGCTGCTGGCCCAGCACCACACCAGCCCCCTCGCTGTCGGAATCGGCTACTAGCTGCACAGGCCGCTGACGGGCCACACCAGTCATCCAAACCATCCTTTTAACACAGAGGAACATCCATAATTTAAGATAAAACAAAATGGCCGCAGCCCAAGCTCACCCGATCTCCGTTTGGGACTTTTTCCCCCGCCGGCACCCGACCAGCAGTGGAGGAAGCCGGATTGGCTTAACGGATTCAGTTAACAACCAGTGATTTTACCTAACAACCAGGGCAAAAAAGTAAAATATAAAATTGGGCGCAGCTGATTAAACAACTGCCTCGCTTAGCGACCAAAATACCAGTCTCCGTTAACGGTTGTAAATCGAGGATTAAGATTTGGCTAATCCTAGGATGGGACAGGTTTGGGTGATGAAAGAGAAGCCGAGCAGTTACCTGTTGAATTTCTGCCTGCTGGAGAAGGGCACAAGCACCTCTGCCGGCAGAGTGCCAACTTTACCAATATTAAACAGACTGGAGGAAGAGAAGGAGAAGGTGGTGCTATACAGATACAGATTAACAAGAGTTGGAAGGGACCTTGTAGGTCATCTAGTCCAACCCCCCCTCCATTTTTGACAGATGGTAGTCCAGTCTCTTCTTGGTGGTTTGGAGGGGGCAGGGGGTGACCCCTAAACAGGTTTGACCAAGCGAGGAAGCGTTTCCAGATTCCCTTCTGTTTTCCTTCCAGAAGAAACTTCCCCGGTGGATTGCCAGCTGATCCACCAGGCCCGGGAAGAAAACTGGAGCCAGTGGTCCCTGCGTGGCGGACTGGAGACCCTTCCCCAAACTTTAGCTTCCTTCTTAAGAGAGCGAGGGGTCGAAATCCACTGCAACGCCCCGGTGAAGCGGCTGGACAGAACAGCCTCGGGATCCTGGCAGGTAGGGAGAAGACCCAAAGGGGGATTTGGGGAGGGGGTGTCCCCTATCCCCCCTCCCCCCCCCAATTTTCCATCCTAGGGGCGTGGAACTCTCGCCCCGCAATCATGGGAGGCCGTGAGTTCGATTCTAGGTAGAGGCAGATATTTCTCTCTCTGGGTATACCGAGAATATATCTGCTGGACAAAACTCCGCCCTGGCAACAGGAAAGGCATCCGGCCATTTAAAAAACATTCTGATAGCTCCATTCAGTTGCCCAGACTCCCGCAAGGGATTATGGGATTGTTAAACAAAGATGATGATGATGATGATGATGATCTACAGGTAGTCCTTGACTTACAACAGTTCACAGTGACCATTCAGAGGAATGGCGCGATATTATCATTATTATTATTTATTAAATTTTTATACCGCCTTTCTCCCGAAGGACTCAGGGCGGTGTACAGCCATATTAAAACAACATATACCCACAAAATTTAAAAAACAGTTTAAAATATATTTAAAAATTTGGCCCTTAAATTAAAAACTACAATAGCCTAGAGGTGGAGCTCTGGCCTCACAATCAGGAGGCTGTGACTTCAATCCTAGGTAGAGGCAGATATTCCTCTCTCTGGGCACACCGAGAATATATCTGCTGAACAAAACTCCTCATCGGTGACAGGAAAGGCATCCGGCCATTAAAAAACACTTTGCTAGCTCCATTCAGTTGCCCGGACTCCACTCTGTAAGGGATTATTATAGGGTCATTAAATGAAGATGATGATTGCAAAGATGGGTATCATTTCTCCCAACTTTGGGGTCTCCATACAATGGCGCACAGAAGCCGTGTCATTTCATCTGGGCGCTAGCAAGGAGGAAACTCCCTCTGTATCGATTAAAATAATAATCATCATCCCTGCTCTTAGAAATGTAGTTTATCAGGCTCGGTTGAAGGCGAGCTAGATTTCTAGCTTCGGGGAATCCACGTCCCGAATAGCACGTAAGCAGACTGAGTCGGCCACAGAACGTTAGAGCTGACGGTGTTTTTTTTTTTCCGTAGATCGCGCTGCAGGACGGCACCGTGGAGGCCGATCATGTGATCAGCGCTTTGCCCGCCAGAGGTAGGAGAAACGGCTCTTTCCTCCCACACACGCCTGTTTGCAGGAAATTGCAACCTAAGATGAAGCAATGTTACGTGGTTGATTGCCTTGAGGACTAGAAACTTGCGAGGGCCCATCTAAAAAAAATACCTGATATTACAGCTTTTTTTTTTCTTTCTTTCTTTCTTCCTCCCAGATCTGGCTAACTTGCTCCCTGCCGGATTTGAACCCCTTATCCAGGACCTGCTGGCCATCCAAGCCGTTTCCGTCGCGGTGGTGAATCTACAATACGAAAATGTGCAACTTCCCGTTACGGTAACGTATTTTGGCTAATGTGATTCCAAGAAAGGAAAAAAAAACAGACACCGAAAAAGACTTAAATCCCACCCACAGCAAGTCACACTGGGGGGGGGGGGAAACCAAATTCGTTTAACAACCATGGTGATTTGCTTAAGGACCGCGTTCAAAAGGGTCCTGAAACAGGCTCCGACTTTTAATGACTGCCTTGTTTAGCGACGGATGTTCCGGTCCCAATTGTCAACGATCACCTTGTCAGCGTGCTAATTAATTCCATTCTGCTTTTGGGTAATCGCACCTTGATTTAGAGACGTGGATCGAGACTTTTCCCTTGAAGCATACTTTTGCAAGAAAATAAACCCGGAAGGTATATTTTTCTAAGAAAAACTCATTTATTTGTTATAAAGAAAATAAAACATCTCACTATCTAAATAATTACATTTTGGCAACGTTCCTGCCGGCCACCACTCTGCAGCCGGACCTCTTGGCAGGAGAACAAAGAAAGAGTGTAGAAGGAAAGAAAGGAATGCGGACATGCGTAGTTAGCTTACTGATAAGAAATTTGGCAAGCTACGGAAAGTCTGAAAATTCAAAAATATTAGCTCATCTGGTAAATACAAAAACGCAGCGACACACCTGTATTACTTTCGTGGATCTTTTGGGTAAGGCTTCCGAAGAACCTACGGAGCAGTGAATTTTTTTTAAATTTCATTTTTTTAAAAAAACTTTTCCAGGGATTTGGCCACTTGGTGCCGTCGTTCGAGGATCGTCCGCTGTTGGGCATCGTTTACGACTCGGTGGCATTTCCCGAACAGAACGGTACCAAAGACTCCGCCACTCGACTGACGGTACGAAGTGTGGGGGGGGGTGGCTTGTGGTCTTTTAATTTTTTGCTCCTTGTCGGATTTTCGATGCGTAACACAAGTGCATTGAGGTGACCTCACTAATGGTGGAATTATGGCTAATTTACTTTTCCCTATACCAGTGATGGCTAACCTTTTTGCCATTGCATGCCAAAAGCGTGGGTCGCGCAGGCACATGCCCACACCCATAATTTTATGCCTGTCCCCACGCGCATGCGTGACCCTCTGCTTTTGGCACGCGATGGCTCAGTAGGCCCGTTTTTTGCCCTCCTCAGCCTCCAGAAGCTTCCTAGGAGCCTGGGGAGGACGAAAACGGCCTTCCCCCCCCCCCATCCCGAGGCCCTCCGGAGGCCGGAAACGGCCCGTTTGCCGACTTCCGATGGGCCCAGAAGGCCCATTTTTCAATCTCCGCAGGCTCCAGAGCCTTTCTAGGAGTCTGGGGAGGGCGAAAATGGCCTCCCCCGCCCCCGGGAGGGAACTGAGCTGACATGCCCACCGATATGGTTCCATGTGCCACCTGTGCCATAGGTTCACCATCACAGCCCTATAGCATTCTTTCTCAACCCACTTTAAGATGGTTGGACTTCAACTCCCAGAATTCCCCAGCCAGCATCCTTTAAGACAGGTGGACTTCAACTCCCAGAACACCCCAGCCAGGATCCTTTAAGATGGTTGGACTTCAACTCCCAGAATTCCCCAGCCAGCATCCTTTAAGACAGGTAGACTTCGACTCCCAGAATCCCCAGCGAGCATCCTTGAAGATAAATGGACTTCAACTCCCAGAATTCCCCAGCCAGCATCCTTTAAGACAGATGGACTTCAACTCCCAGAATCCCCCAGCCAGCATCCTTTAAGATGGCCGTTTTTATGTTTCCGATTATCAGGTGATGCTCGGTGGCGCCTGGTTTACATCACACCTGGGGGACCCCGACACAATTCCTCACAGCGAGTTGTTAAGCAGAGCTCAGGAGGCTGTTAAGAAACACCTTGGAATCTCGGCCGAGCCTGTTCGCTCCATCGTTAAAGTCCATAAGGTGAGTTCTTCGAACCCTCGGACGATTTATTTGCATTAAATCGAGCCGCGATTCTTCTCTTTAATTCAAGATTGCGCTTCTGACTTGCAATTTCAACCCCCCCCATGGTCACATGATCCAAATACAGACGCTGGGCAACTGACTCGTATTTATGACGGTTGCAGTGGCCCGAGAGATCACACGATCCCCTTTTCCGGGGGGGGGGGGGAAGCCAGATTCACTTAGCAGCCGAGTTACTCGCTTATCCCTTAACCACTGTGACAAGGAAGGTCACAAACGGGGCAAAACTCATTCAACTGGCTGAGCAGCAGAAATGGGGGGGGGCTCCCTTGTGGCCATAAGTCGAGGACTAACCAGTCCAGTCTCTTTAAAAAAAAAAAAGTTTATTTTTTTTTTCCTCTCCAATCAGGCTCAAATAACTTTGTGGATTTTTTTTCCCTTTCTTGTTTAGTCCTGCATTCCCCAGTATACGCTCGGCCACTGGAAACACATGGGTAAGTTTTTAAGTCTGGGTTTGGGGCCAAGCTCCCTTAACGACGAAAGGGATTATTTGCTTAACGACCAAGATAAAGCAGGGTGTAAAATTGGATGTGAGTCATTTAAAAACTGCCTTGTTTAGCAACGGCGATCCTGGTCTCAATTGCAATTTCCTTTCCTTTCCTTCCTCTTCCCTTCTCTTTTCTTTCTTTTTTTTCCTTTGCTTTCCTTTCTTCTTTTCCCCTTCCCTTTTTTCTTTTCTTTCCTTCCCTTCCTTTCCTTTCTTCTCTTTCCTTTCCTTTCTCTTCCCTTCTTTTCCTTTCCCTTTCTTCTTTCCTTTCCTTTCCGTTCTTTCCTTTGCCTTTCCTTCTTTCCTTTCCTTCCTTTCCTTCTCTTATCCTTTCCTTCCTTCCCCTTTTTCTACCCTTCTTTCCTTCCTTTCCCTTCCCTTCCCCCTTTCCTTTCCCTTCCCCTTTCCCTTTCCTTTTTCCTTTTTTCCTTTCCTTTTCCTTTTTTCTTATCCTTTCCTTCCTTCCCCTTCCCTTCTTTCCTTCCTTTCCTTTCCCTTTCCCTTTTCTTTCCTTCCCCCTTTCCTTTCCTTTCCTTTCCCTTCCCTTCTCTTTTTCCTTTCCTTTTCCTTCCTTTTTTCCCTTTCCTTTCCTTTCTTTTCTTTTTCTTTCCCAGAAAGTTTCCTACTTCCCAATTGAAGCAACACAATCTGCCCCTTAGTTTGGTGGGAGCTTCTTACGCCGGGGTCTCCGTCAACGATTGCATCTTCAGCGCCCAGGCGGCGGTGGCTCAGCTCGTGGGCGGCGTCTCCTGAGCATGAGCCGAGTTCTGGATTCCTGGGATCCGCTCTCTCTTGAGGACTCCTCGAGGAAAGGGTCGAATAAACAGAATAAGAGAGCTGGAAGAGGCCTTGGAGGTCAGTCAGGAGACCCTATGCGATTCCGGACAAATTGTTATCCAATCTCTTCTTAAAAACCTCGAGTGATGGAGCATCTACAACTTCTAGTGGCAAGGCGTTCCACGGGTTAATTGTTCGAGCTTTCAATAAATTTCTCCGGAGTTCCAGGTTGCTTCTCTCCTTGGTGAGTTTCCATCCGTTGCTTCTTGTCCTGTTTTCTGGTGCTTTGGAGAATAAGTTGACACCCCTCTCTTCTTTTGGGGCAACTACCGTGTTTCCCCCAAAAATAAGACCTCCCTGGATGAAAATATTTAACCGCATGCACAGACGGTCCCCGCCATTTCTTCTGGTTAGAGTTAGGGAGAGAGAGCTGGAAATCAGGTAAGACGGCAAGAGGAGTCCCGTCTTGCTCCACGCGCCCCAAAATAATAAGACCTCCCCGAAAATAAGGCCAAGCACTCATTTCGGGGGTCAAAAAAAAAAAAATAAGGATCTTATTTTCGGGAAAACACGGTAGCTTTCGCCAAACTGGTTGACGAGACCTAACTCAGTTTGCATTGCATTTAAAAAGAAAGCCTTGGTAGTACAGTGGTCTAAAGCACCCTGTTATTAACACAGCTGCCTGCAATTTCTGCGAGTTCAAATCTCACCAGGCTCAAGGTTGACTCAGCCTTCCATCCTTTCTAAGGTAGGTTAAATGAGGACCCAGTTTGTGGGGGGCAATAAGCTGACTTTGTATAAAATATACAAAAGTATGAAGGCTATTGCTTAATGCATTGTAAGCCGCCCTGAGTCTCCGGAGAAGGGCGGCATATAAATCAAATTAAAATAAATAAATAAATAAATAAATAAAAAAAAAATAAATAAATAAAAAAACCCAAACCACAGTTAGTTAACACTTGGGTTTTTAACTTGGCCAGCCATTCCTAGAAGAAAGAACACCTCACTCTTTTCATTGGGTGAGGGAATATTTATTTTTGTAAAAAAAAAAAAAAACCCAAATATATATATTATTATATATATATATATATATATATATCAAAAACAAGGGGGAAAAGGGCACCACTACCGCAAAAAGGGGATTGACGGCTACATAAATAGAATAAATAAAATGACACGTCGTTGGCAGTATCTAGAGATTGTGAGTGCTTCGGTGAGGGAGATCGAAGGAAACAGGCTGGGACCAGCCCTGAAGCAAAGGGGGGAAAATATACCGTATTTTTTGGAGTATAAGATGCTCCGGGCTATAAAATGCACCTATGTTTTTTGGGGAGGAAAACGAGAAAAAAAAAATCTGCCTCCGCCTCCCAGCAATTTGCCTCTTTGCAGCAAACAGCCTGTTTTAGTTTCAGTTTCAGCACAGCCTGATTAGCATAAGAAAAAAAAAACCTGCCTCCTTGCAACAAACAGCAAACAAGCCTGTTTCATTTTCAGCACAGCCTGATTAGCACAAGAAAAAAAAAAACCTGCCTCCCAGCAATTTGCCTCCTTGCAACAAACAGCCTGTTTCAGTTTCAGCACAGCCTGATTAGCACAAGGGGGAAAAAAATCTGCCTCTGCCTCCCAGCAATTTGCCTCCTTGCAGCAAACAGCAAACAAGCCTGTTTCAGTTTCACTTTCAGCACAGCCTGATTAGCACAAGAAGAAAAAAAAATCTGCCTCCCAGCAATTTGCCTCCTTGCCTGAAACAGCTGAAGGTCGGGAGGCTGATCCAACCGACAATCAGCTGCTTGTGCGAATCAGGCTGTGCTGAAGCTGAAACGGGCTGTTTGCGGCAAGGAGGCAAATTGCTGGGAGGCAGAGACCAAAGGGTGGGGGCCGGCAGGTGGGTGGGGCTACATCCGGTGTATAAGACGCACCTAAATTTTCACCCTCTTTTAGGGGGGGGAAAGTGCGTTTTATACTCTAAAAAATACGGTATATTCGGGAAGATAGGTGAGGTAAACGTTCATGGCGATTTTTTAAATTCTGATTTCTTTTTTTCCAGGGGGTGGGTGGGTGCAGGGAACCTACAAAACAGTCCAGCCGCTAAAATAGTAATAAACATTAGTCCGGGGGGGGGGAAGACGGACTTCTCCATCCAAGCCTCTGGAACAGCCAGTGAGCAGATTTGATGGCCGCCTTTGAGAGATCGACTCTAAAAAAAAAACTCTTTAGATTTAGATTGATGCAGACTTTCAGAGTCGGCTTCCATAGTTTATTAAAGAGTTTAAAATTTCAAAGGGAAAGAGATGGGGGGGGAAAAAGGAGGAAGAAAAAAAGGAGGAGCAGGAGAGAAAAGGGAAGAAGAAGAAGAAGAAGAAAAGAAAAATACGGCAAAGAAGAGATGAGGAAGGAAAAGGAAGAGGAGAAGAAAAAGAGACGGGGAAGAGATGAAGAAAGGAGAAGAAATGAAGGAGGAGGAGGAGGAGAAAAAAAGACGGAGGAGATGAAAACGAGAAGAAGGGAAGAAAAAGAAGGAGAAAGATGGAGAAGAGAAAAAGAAAAAAGATGGAGAGGAGGAGGAAGAGAGGAAGAAGACAAAAAAAGTTGGAGAAGAGAAAGAAAAAGAGGAGGAAGAGGAGAAGGAGAAGATGATGATTGTACGAGCAAACGGCTCGAAGGACAGCAAGCGTAGCTTCAACTTCCAGACTGTTTCTCCTTCAATCCGGGGAGAGGGGAGATTTTCCTGCCCCCCCCCCCCGAGAAGAAGCGGAGTGCCCCAGGAGGCTCTTTCATCAGAAAATCCCCCTCCTCCGTTCCTTGATCCCGGGCTGGATCGCGTGGGGGGAGGGGGGGCACAGCTGGGGTGGGAGAAGATCCCCTTTCCCCCATCCCAAATTCTATTTCACAAAAGTTGAGAAGTCTGGCAAAGCGAGTTCAAGTTTCCTGGCACTGGGGGGGGTTGGGGGAAGCAAGGCTCAGCCCTTCCCCCTTTTTTTAAAAAAAGGTGCGAAGTGGACGGTGAGGGCCGGAGGACTTTAATCGGACCGCTCTTCACCGAAGCTGTAGAATTCCCCCCCTTCCCCCCCCCCCCCCCCCAAAATATCCATCCACAGAAATCTCGGACACGAGAAGTGGCCCCTTTCCCAAGCTGATCCTTCCTGTGTTTCCAGTCGCCTTCGAGCGGGAATCCAGTCCTACGAAGCGCGAGATAGAAATACGGGCCCTTGGTAAGATTCAAGAATCAACCGGCACCCGCGGATACGGGAACCAAATTCTCGAAAGGATTCCCGGCGCCGTCCTACCTGCCCTGTTCACTTGCCCCTTTATTTGTCCGCTCTACCCTCCGTCCGGCCCTTGTGCTCTGTTGGCCCGGTGAGAACACCGACGGACGAGCAGGGACGAGAGAATAATTCTAAATTTTGACCTCTCGTGGACGATCTGGGTATCATCTCGTTCTTTTAATCTGCGTTTCTAGCATCGGTGCGATTTGTAGAGTCGGGTCGGAGAGCCAAGCTCTGCATGGCATGTCCGGATGAAGGTCGCGGCGAAGATAGACCTACTCGTACGGGTTGGACTGTCTCCTTCTCGCGATCCTCGAAAACTCGTTTGGGGATTCCTGGGCTGGAGACGGTGTCGTTGAACGTTTCGAGGGTAGTGTCCATCTCGTTGTAGGTCAAAGCCGCAGAGCCTTTCTCATTCTTTTCAGCTCCGGAGCTCGGTTTGGCGGTTTCTGAGCTCGGGGTGGGTCTCTCCCCCTTTTTATCTGTCTCTGGAGGGGGGTCCTTCCATCCCATGGCTTGGGAGAGCTTGGCAAAGGGAGTCTTCCGCAACATCTCCTGGCGGAAATCGTGATTGCTGTCTCGCGGATAATCCCTCCCGCCGAAGTCGGACAGGGAGCCCTTTCCGATCTTGGTGGCCTGAGGGTTGGTGCCGATATCGGCGGTGATGTTGGTGTAAAGCGGCAACAGCTCTTTGGACAGGAGCTTGTAGGAGAGGGAATTCATGCCGTCCTGGCTCCACGAACGGTACGTCCGAATCAGTAGATCGAACCTGGGAAGACAAAAGACGGAGAGAAGTCAGCACCCGTATCCAGAGGTGGGCTGCTGGAGGTTCGCAGGGGTTTAGGAGAATCTCTAGCTAAGATTCTCTGCAGTTCGGAGAATCCCACTCCTGGATGGCCCCACCCCGCCCCACCCCTACCAGGAGTCCCCACACGGCCCATTATGGATGCAGGTAAGTGCAGGGGGTGTGCGGAGGCTCGGGGAGGGTGAAAAACGGATTTACCGGAAGTTCGAGAAGGCTGGAAATATTTCCGGCCTCCAGAGGGCCTCCGGAGCCTGGGGAGGCCGTTTTCGCCCTCCCGGAGGCTCAAGAAAGTCCTCTGGAGCCTGGGGAGGGCAAAAACGCCCCCTCCCCGTGGTACAGGACGATGACTAGGCCACGCCCACCATGGCCACACCCACTCAGCAACTGGGCAGAGAACCCCTTGCTAAAATTTTTGAAGTCCACCCCCTGCCCGTATCTCTCTTTCTCCGTATCATTCCTTTTCTCTTTCTCATTCTCTTTCTCCCCTTCCCCTTCTCTCTCTCTCTCCCACCCACCTCTCTCTCTCCCTTCCTCCTTCCCTCTCCCTCCCTCCCTCCCTCTCTCACACACCTTTTTACTGACCTGTGTGGATTCTGCTCATTGCCTTGGTCGCCCTCGTGTTTCACCATTTTATAATGGCCAACGGACACCGGAGGCCGTAAAATCTTCATCCCTCGGAAGCGCACCCTGGAAAAATAGGATCCTGTTCCTTAACCTTGACAGCTTTTAAGATGGGTGGACAATTTCCCAGAATCCCCCAGCCAGCCTGCTTTAAAAAGAGGGGACTTCAAGTCCCAGAATCCCTCAGGGGGCACAATTTAAGATGGGTGGGCTTCATTTCCCAGAATCCCCCAGCCAGCCTGCTTTTAAGAAGAGGGGACTTTATTTCCCAGAATCCCTCAGGGGGCACAATTTAAGATAGGTGGACTTCATTTCCCAGAATCCCCCAGCCAGCCTTCTTTAAGAAGAGGGGACTTCAATTCCCAGAATCCCCCAGCCAGCGTGCTTTTAAGAAGAGGGGACCTCAAGTCCCAGAATCCCTCAGGGGGCACAATTTAAGATAGGTGGACAATTTCCCAGAATCCCCCAGCCAGCACAATTTAAGATGGGTGGACTTCAATTCCCAGAATCCCCCAGCCAACATGCATCTATTTGAAGAGAACTATACAGGGAAGCTAAATGATTCACAAGGCATCTCTTAAATCAATCAAACACGACATGAATCAAAGCTAGCATCAATCCAAGAGGCTGTGGATTAGATCTCAGATCTTTTTTTAAAAAAAACAGTAGATCTTAAACCGATCGGCTCAATTTTCCCCGTTTCAAGTCTTGAATAAAATGAGGGGCCCCCCATTAAAAAATAAAAATTACAGATTCTGTACTTTGACAATATTGCCTGGAGCCTCGATTTCCAAATAAGCAATTAGAAATTCTAAATTGCTCTTCTCCTTCCCAAGAGACTTTTTTATTCCACCAGGCGGGCCTGGCCTAACTCTCTCCCTCTTTTTAAACAATTTAAATAATTTTAATATTTTTAATCCTCAAAGTTTAAATTTATTTTAAATTGATTGGGGTTTTAATTTGTCTGGGCCAAACTATTTAATTCGATTTTATTTCTGCTTTTTAAATTTTGTATATATGTATTTTATTGTTGGCTGTTCACCGCCCTGAGTCCTTCGGGAGTAGGGCGGTATATAAATCAAATAAAAGTAAAGTAAAGTAAAGTAAAGATGCCTGGCTTAGCTTCAGTTTAAGAGCCACCGTTTTAAAACGACGAAATATTTTTTTTTTTCTGAGCTAAAAAGGCAACGGCCAAGCCTCAAAACCATTTCGTCTGAAAGCATCGGAGGTTTTTCGCCCCGTCTTTTTCCAAATGAAAACCTCAAAAAGGGCCCCTTTTTGAGAACGTTTAGTTTGGCCTGCTTGGGAAATGAGAATTTTTCTGAATTTTTCCCGTCCTCGTGGTTCAAATCAGGGAACGAGGCCAGCAGCCTACAAGGACAGGTGAAAGGAGAATCTGGCTTTGAGGGTTGCTGAGATACCTTTTTTTAAAAAAAAAAACTTACCTGGCTGGCACAGCCTCTAACTGTTACGTGGTGTGAAGGAAAATGACATGCAGAACTTCAGAAGAGAAAGAAGTGAAGGTGAAGGAGAGAAGGAAGGAGAGAAATGAAAGGGAGGGAGGAAGGAAGGAAAAATGGAGGAAGGAAAACAGGAAAGGAAAGAGCGAGAAATAGATGGAGAACAGGGAGGGGAGGAAGAAGGAAGGAATTGGGAAGGAAGGAGAAATGGAGGAAGGAAGGAAGGAAAACAAGAGCAAGAAAGATAGGCAGAAGAGGGAGGGAGGGAAGGAAGAAGGAATTGTGAAGGAAAGTGAAATGCAGGAAGGAAAACAAGGACAGGAAAGAGCGAGAAAGAGACAGAGAACAGGAAGGAAGGAGAAATGGAGGAAGGAAAACAGAAGGACAGGAAAGAGGGAGAAAGAAACAGAATAGGAAGGGAGGAAAGGAAGGGAGGGAGAAACAAAGGAGAAATGAAGGAAGGAAGGAAAACAAGCAAGAAAGAGGAAGGGAGGGAGGGAGGAAGGAATTGTGAAGGAAAGTGAAATGGAGGAAGGAAAACAGAAGGAAAGGAAAGAGCTAGAAAGACAGAGAACAGGGAGAAAGGAAGGAGAAATGGAGGAAGGAATACAGAAGGAAAAGAAAGAGCGAGAAAGAGACGGAGAACAGAAAGGAAGAAGGAAGGAATTTGTGGAGGAAAGTGAAATGGAGAAAGGAAAACAAGGAAAGGAAAGAGCGAGAAAGAGATGGAGAACAGGAAGGAAGGAAAGAGAAATGGAGGAAGGAATACAGAAGGAAAGGAAAGAGCGAGAAAGAGACGGAGAACAGAAAGGAAGAAGGAAGGAATTGTGAAGGAAAGTGAAATGGAGAGGAAAACAAGGAAAGGAAAGCGAGAAAGAGATGGAGAACAGGAAGGAAGGAAGGAGAAATGGAGGAAGGAATACAGAAGGAAAGGAAAGAACGAGAAAGATGGAGAACAGAAAGGAAGAAGGAAGTAAAACAAGGGAAGGAAAGAGCAAGAAAGAGACGGAAACAGGAAGGAAGGAAAGGAAGGAAAACAAGGGAAGGGAAGAACGAGAAAGACAGGGATTAAAGGAGAAGGAATTGGGAAGGAAGAAGAAATGGAGAAAGGAAAACAAGGAAAGGGAAGAGCGAGAAAGAGACAAAGAACAGGAAGGAACGAACGAACGAATGAACGAACAAAGAAAAACAAGGAAAACAAAGAACAAGAGAGGGAGAACAGGAAGGGAGGGAGGTAGGAATAAGATAGAAAGAAGGAAAGAAAGCAGAGGAAAAAAGGAAAAAAAGAGATGATGATATGGTGGAAAGGCGAAGACAGGTGCCACTCAAGTTGCAAAACTGAACATGAAGAATGGAAAAAACGCTGCACACAGGAGAGTGAAAAGGAAGCCCACGTTACATACAAGGCGAGAGTCAACCAGACAACAGAGGTGATAACAGGACACAGAAACCATAAAAAAGTAAAAAATAAAATAAAATAAGAGAGACATACAGGCTGACAGATGTCCAAGAGATAACATTATTCTGAATGGAGCTAGCAAGAGTGTTTTACTGGCCGGATGCCTTTCCTGTCACCAGGGCGGAGTTTTTTTGTTTCAGCAGATAATATTCTCATTGTGCCGAGAGAGAGAAATATCTGCCTCTACCTTGGATCGAACTCGCAAGCCTCCCGATTGTGAGGCCAGAGCTCCACCTCTAGGCCACCGCACCACTCCCGACTTGCGACCACAACTGGAGCCCCGAATTTCTGTTGCTAAGCGAGACAGTTGTGAAGTGAGTTTGGCCCCATTTTACGACCTTTCCCGCCACGACGGAGAAGCCGATCACTCCGATTGTTCAGTTAGTAACATGTTGGTAAGCAAATCCGGCTTCGCCAAAGGGGATTCACTACAACTATCATCAATACGAATCCTATTCGCCCAGTGTCCAAATTTTGATGGGGAATGCTGCAACTGTTGTCGTGGCAACAGTCCCTAAATGAACAGTTTTAAGTCAAGGACTACCGATCAGAGGCAGGGATGGGGAAGAAGGTCAGCCAGGAACTCACCTCATGGCGATGTCGTCGTCCTCACCCCCCCAGCCCCAGTACTGGTTCGGGAAACCATTAATCTTCATATACTGGTCTGGGGTCAAGGCCGAAACCCCACCAAAATATTGGAAATACGGGAGCCTGGAAACAGAGAGCAACAGGGTTTCCGTGGAGCGTTCTGCGAGCATCGTTAAGTGTGAAAAGGGTTCCTAAATCCCCCTTTTTTCCCCCCAATGCCGTTGTGACTCCGGTCACTAAACGAAACTGTTGTAAGTCGAGGACTTCCTGTAGATGACAGGAGCGGCAGGTAAATTCCCACCCCACCCCCCCTTCCAGGCCTTCTCCCTCACTTGTATTTGAATTTATTCATGGCCACGGAGACGTGTTTCGGGTTCCAGCGGTCGCAAACGTAGAGATTGTGGTCGTTCTCGGGGATGAGGTCCACGTCGTGAAGGAAAAGGCAGTTCCACTCTTCGTCCTTCAGCGCTTCCTTCACCCCGACGTTGAGAAGTTTGGCCCGGTTAAACGTAGCGTTCCCGGCCTGCGGGGGGAAAAAAAGAGACAAACCACGATCGGTGGAAGGATCCGCAACATAAGACCTAAATCCCTAAAACTTCACAAAAAAATCCCAAAATTCCTAACAGCCTAAACCCTGCAGCTAATCTGGTGGAGAATTGCTTTGGAGGGAAAGTATAAAAGGAGGCAGCGGGGGTAAGGGCTGAGTCAGACTGCGGGAAGACTTGGAAGGGAGAAGAGAAGAGAAGAGAAGAGAGAAAAGAGGGAAGAAACCAGAGAGGAGAGGAGAGGAGAGGAGAGAGAAAAGAGGGAAGAAACCAGAGAGGAGAGGAGAGGAGAGATGAGATGAGATGAGACACCAGAAAAGAGAAAAGAGGGAAGAAACCAGAGAAGAGAGGAGAGGAGAGGAGAGACGAGACACCAGAAGAGAGAAAAGAGGGAAGAAACCAGAGAGGAGAGGAGAGGAGAGGAGAGAGAAAAGAGGGAAGAAACCAGAGAGGAGAGGAGAGGAGAGGAGAGAGAAAAGAGGGAAGAAACCAGAGAGGAGAGGAGAGGAGAGATGAGATGAGATGAGACACCAGAAAAGAGAAAAGAGGGAAGAAACCAGAGAAGAGAGGAGAGGAGAGGAGAGAATTAAACAGAGTTGGGAGGGACCTTGCAGGTCATCTAGTCCAACCCCGTTCCAAGAAGATGAAAGAAAGAGCAATATACTTAAAGAGCTTTCCCCACCCCCCACCCCAAGGGGGAGGGGGGGGGAAGGGCAAAGTCACCAACTTTGCCAACAAACAAAGTCACCAAGTCCTGGCAGAGAATACAAATAGATTAGAAAAGCTGCTGGAGGACCAGACAGAAGACTGCGAACACATCTTGGATTGGCACTTCCCCAGCAGGAAGACAGGCGTGCCTGTATTGTAACTGTGGACGCCAAGGAAAAACAAAATATAGTTGCCCAATTTATATAGCGGCCCATCCCACAAACGGGTGGCTCTGGGTAGCATGTCATGAATGAAGAACCAAAAAAATAATAATAATAATATTCCTTCTATTTATACGTATTTATTTCCGATGACCCATGCTCCTTCATGAAAATTAATCTTTTAATTTAGGACCACGGATAAGCCCCGAATTTATCTTGCTCAATGAGAAATTGATTGGAGTTTTGCCCCGTTTCATTTTTTTCTTGCCACATTTCTTAAGCGAATCGGTGCAACTGTTAAATGATCGCATTTATCTGCCACCGCTTCTTTTTTTTTTTTTTTTTAATTTGATTTATATGCCGCCCTTCTCCGGAGACTCAGGGCGGCTTACAATGCGTTAAGCAATAGCCTTCATACTTTTGTATATTTTTATACAAAGTCAGCTTATTGCCCCCACAATCTGGGTCCTCAATTTTACCTACCTTAGAAAGGATGGAAGGCTGAGTCAACCTTGAGCCTGGCGAGATTCGAACTTACAGTAATTGCAGACAGCTGGTGTTAAATTGCAGTGCTTAGTCTGTTGAGCTGTCCAGGCTTCATAAGAAAACGACTTCCTTCCTAAGAGTAACAGAGCTGGAAGGGACCTTGGAGGTCATCTAGTCCAACCACCTTCTCACACAGGAGACCTCTACTAGGGATTCGAACCGCCGAACTGCAAAACTGATCGACGAGCTCAGGATCTTAGCCACCTAGTCAATTCCTGGCCTAAACCATACGTTCCTGCTTTTTTTGTATCTACGTACCTGGTGCACGATATAAATTCCGTAATGGAGCTGTTGGCGCTGGAGGAAAGGGTGCAGGTAGTACAACAGGTGTCTCAGGTGAGTCTCTCGGTTGCGGTGGGGGATGATGATGGCCGTGCGGGAACGGGACTCACAGTTGAAAGGATGGTACCTGCCACCTAATTTGACCGCCGGGTTTTTCTCCTGGATCTGTTTCAGTGTGGGCACCTGGCTGAAACTCACGATCAAAGGACCAACTAAAGGGAGGAAGGGGAAGAGGGGGGGAAAAGAAAAAGAAAAGAGAAAGGAAGGAAGGAAAAAGGGAAGAAAGAAGGAAGGAAAGGAAGGGAGAAGGGAAGAAGAGAAAAAAAGGAAGGAAGGAAAAAGGGAAGGAAGGGAGAAGGGAAGAAGACAAGGAAAGGAAGGAAGAAGGGAAGAAGAGATAAGGAAAAAGGGAAGAAAGAAAGAAGGAAGGGAGAAGGGAAGAAGACAAAAAAGAAGGAAGGAAAAAGGGAAGAAAGAAAGTAAAGGAAGTGAGGAAGAGAAAAAGGAAGGAAAAATGGAAGGAAGAAAGAAAGAAGGGAGGGAGGAGGGAAGGAGAAAAAAGGAAGGAAAAAGGGAAGAAAGAAAGAAAGAAGGAAAGGAAGGGAGAAGGGAAGAAGAAAAAAAAGGAAGGAAGGAAGGAAAAAGGGAAGAAAGAAGGAAGGGAGAAGGGAAGAAGAGAAAAAAGGAAGGAAGGAAAAAGGGGAAGAAGGGAAGGAAGGGAGAAGGGAAGAAGACAAAAAAGGAAGGAAGGAAGAAGGGAAGAAAGCAAAGGAAGGGAGAAAGGAAGAGAAAAAGGAAGGAAGGAGCGAAGAAAGAAAGGGAAGGAAGAGAGAAGGGAAGAAGAGAAAAAAGGAAGGAAGGAAAAGGGGAAGAAAGAAAGAAGGAAGGAGAAGGGAAGAAGACAAAAAAGAAGGAAGGAAAAAGGGAAGAAAGAGAAAGAAGTAAAGGAAGGGAGAAGGGAGGAAGAGAAAAAGGAAGGAAACGGAAGAAAGAAAGGAGGGAGGAGGGAAGGAGAAAAAAGAAGGAAGGAAAAGGGAAGAAAGAAAGAAGGGAAGGGAGAAGGGAAGAAGAGAAAAAAGAAGGAACAAGAGAAGGAAGGGAGAAGGAAAGAAAAGGAAGAAGGGAAGAAGAGAAAGAGGGGAGAAAGGGAAAAAAAGAAATTATATATATATGTATACACACACAAAAAAAATGTAAATTATATATGTAACCGATAACATATATGTATATATATATTCAGTCCCTCATTCATTATTCAATATGCTATAGTTTTTTATTTATTTATTTGATTTATATGCCACCCTTCTCCGGAGACTCAGGGAGGCTTACAGTGCGTTAAGCAATAGCCTTCATCCTTTTGTATATTTATACAAAGTCAGCTTATTGCCCCCACAAACCGGGTCCTCATTTACCGACCTTAGAAAGGATGGAAGGCCGAGTCAACCTTGAGCCTTGGCGAGATTCGAACTCGCAGTAATTGCAGACAGCTGGTGTTAAATCACAATGCTTTTAGTCTGCTGAGCCACCAGGCCTCCTCAGGCCCCTGAGACAGTTGCCCATCTCAGCCAAATATTATCTCTCGATTGCACGGCACATTCACATCCCGTTGCAGGAAAAAAGGAACGCGAGTAAAATGCAAAAACATAGAATATAAAATCTGTAACCTTAACAGAAAGGTAAAGAGGAAGATTGACATGATAACATCTTCCAATATTTTGAGTGGGGTCAAATATTGTTCTCCAAAGCCCCCGAGGGCAGGACAAGAAGCAATGGGTGGAAACTAATCAAGGAGAGAAGCAACCTATAACTAAGGAAGAATTTCCTGACAGTGAGAACAATTAACCAGTGGAACAGCCTGCCACCAGAAGTTGTGAATGCTCCCACACTGGAAGTTTTTAAGAAGATGTTGGATAACCGTTTGTCCATCCTGGTATCGATCTCCTGCTTGAGTAAGGGTTGGACTAGAAGACCACCGAGGTCCCTTCCGACTCTTGTTATTTTGTTATTGCAACTCCTAATTAACATTTGATTTCTCTCTTTTCCCCACTCTTATCCCGTTTCACGGACCAAATCTTTCAAGTTTCTCGCTGCAAGCTCGGAAGCGTCCCCTTAGGCAGGGGGTCTCCAACCGCATCTCGACTCCCAGAATTCCTCAGCCAGCCATGCTGGCTGGGGAATTCTGGGAGTTGAAGTCCATCCGTCTTAAAAGTTGCCAAGTTTAGAAGAGAAGAGAAGAAAAGAGAAGAGAAGAGAAGTTTGGAATGGAATGGAATGGAATGGAATGGAATGGAATGGAATGGAATGGAATAGAATAGAATAGAATAGAATAGAATAGAATAGAATAGAATAGAATATAGAATAATGGAATGAATAGAATAGAATAGAATAGAATATAGAATATAGAATAATGGAATGAATAGAATAGGATAGAATAGAGAATATAGAATAATGGAATGGAATGAATAGAATAGAATTAGAGCAGAATAGAATAGAATAGAATAGAATAGAATAGAATAGAATAGAATAGAATAGAATTAGAGCAGAATAGAATAGAATAGAATAAGAGCAGAATAGAATAGAATAAGAGCAGAATAGAATAGAATAAAATAGAATAGAATAAGAGCAGAATAGAATAGAATATAGAATAATGGAATGAATAGAATAGGATAGAATAGAGAATATAGAATAATGGAATGGAATGAATAGAATAGAATAGAATAGAATAGAATAGAATAAGAGCAGAATAGAATAGAATAGAATAAGAGCAGAATAGAATAGAATAGAATAGAATAGAATAAGAGCAGAATAGAACAGAATAGAATAGAATAGAATAGAATAGAATAGAATAGAATAGAATAGTTGGAAGGGACTTCGGAGGTCATCTAGTCCAACCCTCTGCTCAAGCTGGAGACCTTCTACCATGCCAGACAAATGGCTGTGCAGTCGCCTCTTAAAAACCCCCAGTGATGGAGAAGAAAGGAAGGACGGACAGACGGACAGATGGAAGGAAGGAAAGGAAGGAAGGAAGGAAGGAAGGAAGGACGGGCAGAATACGAGAATAACAGAGTTGGAAGGGACCCTAGAGGTCTTCTAGTCCAACCCCCGCTTGCTCAAGGAGGGGACCCTCTACCATGCGAGACAAGTCCAGCCTTTTCTTTAAAACGTCCAGCATTCACGACATCTGGTGGCAAGTCGTCCCACTGATTAATTGTTCTCACCGTCGAGAAATGTCTCCTCAGGAGATCCCTGCGGCCTTCGTACCCCGCAACGCTGGACATGCCGAGAGATTTGGGGTGGGGGGGGGACCCCGAAGGCAGGAAGGCTTGGACTCACTCAGGTACGGCGACCGATCGGGGCAGAACGGCAAGGGTCTGCTGGTGCTGGGACGAGCCGGCAACTGGAAGACCAGGCTGAGGTTGGTGTAGACATCGTGCCGGCGGGAATAGTCGAAGGAAGGGCTGGTGTCGCGGCCGAAGATGGACGCCAGGTTGCGGAAGCCGCCGAAGGAAAAGTAGGCCATGAAGAGAAACTGGAAACCGATCAGGAGTGCCAAGGTGCAGGGCCGATCCAGGAATCTGCGGAGCATGGCGCTGGGAGCATCGGATCTTGTGCCGCCACGGGGTTCTGCAGCGGGGAGAGGAAGGGTGAGAAACGGCCCATCTCAAAGCAGATCGCCCTTCGATTTCCATCCTGCTTCTCCCCTCCCTCCTCCTTTTCCACAACAACAACCCTGCGAGGTGGGGCCGGTCAGGTCCAAAGTCACCCAGCGGACTCGGCGTCGTTCCTAGCAGTCCCAAAGTAATCAGTCTGCCTATTTGTCTGAAGTGGTGTGGGGTTTCCTGCCTGAGCAGGGGGTTGGACTAGAAGACCTCCAAGGTCCCTTCCAACTCTGTAATTCTATTCTATTCTATTCTATTCTATTCTATTCTATTTTAAATTCTATTCTATTCTATTCTATTCTATTCTATTCCAAAATTCTATTTTATTCTATTCTATTCCAAAATTCTATTTTATTCTATTCTATTCCAAAATTCTATTTTATTCTATTCTATTCCAAAATTCTATTCCAAAATTCTATTCTATTCTATTCTATCCTATCCTATCCTATCCTATTCTATTCTATATATATATTATTTCCTTCCTCTCTTTAGTTGGTAAAGTTGATAGTATACTATCAACTTTACCAACTAAAGGGAGGAAGGAAAGAAAGAAAGAAAAAGAAAACAGAAAGAAGGAAGAAGGGGAGACGAAAGTAAGAAGAGAATATATTGAAAGCATTAGAAAGCAGATATATTTGAGTCAATGCTCAGGAATGCTAAAGGGAGGAAGGAAAGAAAGAAAAAGAAAACAAAGAAGAAGGGGAGAAGAAAGGAAGAAGAAAATATATAGAAAGCATTAGAAAGCAGATATATTTGAGTCAATGCTCAGGAATGCTAAAGGGAGGAAGGAAAGAAAGAAAAAGAAAACAGAAAAAAAAGAAGGGGAGAAGAAAGGAAGAATAGAATATATAGAAAGCATTAGAAAACAGATATATTTGAGTCAACGCTCAGGAATATAGGACGTCAGCAATTCCTGCTTGGTGTGTGGGTTTGCTAAGTTTCTAGTCCTCAACTCCCAAGTTGAGGACTAGAAAGTTAAAAAGAATTTCTACCCCAGCTTTATTCTGGGCTCCCAATACGCTGCAAATATCCAAACTCATGGATCGGCCAGTTCATAAAATGCCATCATTCATAGCCTTTTTTTTTTTTTTTAAGTATTATTAATTTACAAAGCTGATCTGACATCGTGATAGAATCTGTCCGTCCCGGCCTCAGGCGAAATGCAGGTTTTTAAATGCCCTGTTAATTAGCGAAAACCGGTTCCTTGTTTCCTCGTCCAGCAAATTCTGAATTTCTTATTTCAATCCGCCCAAAAACTCCCTGTATTAGCAAGCAATCCCCAGCAGATGATAATAATAAAAATAATAACAGCAATAATAACACCAAAACAACCACAAGAATTTAGCTATTAAATACAGGCAGTTCTCAACTTAAATACAGGCAGTTCTTAACTATTAAACACAGGCAGTTCATTTAGTGACCGTAAGAAGTTAGAACGGCACTGAAAAAGTGTCTTATTTCCGCTTTTCACACTTACGATTGTTGGGGCATCCCCGTGCGATTCACTTAGCGACTGGGTCAAGAAAGGTTGTAAAAATGGGGCAAAACTCACTCAACAAAATGGCTGACAGAAAATTTGGGCTTAACTGCGGTCGTAAATTGAGGATTAGCTGTATATGCAATCTGTTTATATGGGCAGGCTGCAAAATTTTCCCAAATTTTTATTGTGAAATCCGTGTGGGAGGATCGGGCCACGGGAAAGGCCTTATCCATCTAATAAATCCAAATAAAATAAAATAAACAGACAACAGGCTTCAGACAACAATTCTGCCCCATTTCAGCTCCGGATTCCGGATTCCGGCTTGGAAAAACTGGGATTAATCTCGGATGGCGGTTTCCAGCAGAAGAGCCTTAAATCCAGATTATTCCAATAAGGCTGCAAGCGAAGAACAGAATTAGGGAAAATAATCACATCTGCTTTCCTGAACAGACATCAGAAATGGCTTCCAGATGAGAACATATAGAGATAATCAGAATCAGATTAATGATTAATCTGGAAGGGATTTTTAAGAGGTCTTCTAATCCAGCCCCGTTCCAGCAGGAGACCCTATACAGTCCTCGATTTACGACCAGAAACGAGCCCAACGTTTTCCGTGCCAAGGGAGACCATCAGTTAAGTGATTTTTTTTCCTCTCATTTTACGGCCTCTCTTGCCACCGTTGTTAAGCGAATCGCTGCCGTTTGTTTAAGTCAGTCACGCCGTTGTTAAGTGAATCGGCCTTCCCTATTGACTTGGCTGGTCGGAAGGTCGCAAAAGGAGATCATGGGACTTCCCCCGACCTCCGGGAACTGTCGTAAGTATGAATCAGTTGCCAAGCGTCCGAATTCCAATCACGTGATCGCCACCATAGTCGTTAAGTGTGAAAAAAATGTTACTTTTTCCCTAAGGCCGCTGTAACTTTGAACGGTCACTAAACGAACTGTCGTAAAGCGAGAACTATCTGTAATCCCTTCCTAATTTTTTTTCTTTTCTGCTTCTCCCTCCAAATTTCCTTCCTTTGCTTCCCGGACCCCCAAAATCGTGTGATCGGAGCCGAAGAGCCCTGTGTCACACCGAAGCTGGCACGCTTGATACCCCATTTCACGGAGGGTGGGGGTTCAAAACCGGGAAGGTGGAATGAATGGATGTGGGGAGAGGGGGCTTTTTCCTCCCTTCTGCTCCCCCATTAAACGCCCCCACGTCGAAATGGGGGGAAAAGCAGGAAAAAATAAGGATATTTACAGGTAATATCGACTTAACAACAGTTACCCTTCCAATCCTGGTTTTAACCATCCAGGGCAGTCCCCGGTAATGTAGGTTGGAAGGGACCTTGGGAGGTCATCTAATCCAACCCCTATGCGCACGCAGGAGACCTCAACGAGCTCAGCGTCGTAGCCACTGAGCCACCTTGTCAGGCTGGCAAGTTTAAACACCTATCCTGACCCCCCCCCACACTCCCAACCCCCAAATCGTGGCTTGCAAAAAGTCCAGAGGCCTCTGTCCTGTGAACGCAGCCAGGAAAGAGGGGGGGGGGGAAAGAAACCCCCTTTGCACAGATTCCCCCCACCCCCCCACCTCCCTCCCTCCCTTCCCCCCTAAATCTCTTGCAAAGGATGCTTATTTGGGTGGGAAACAAGTGGAGGGGGGGTGGGCTTTGCTTCTCCAGCTACATATAATAACCCAGGATCGGCTTGGTTTCCCACGCCTGATTGCAGCTCCTTCCTGACCCCCAAAGGGGATCGCAGCACCCATCATCCCCAGCCAAGCCGGCAATCCCCGGGCACGTTTGCAAAAAAAAAAAAAGATTGCACAGCTTAGCTTGTTTTGCAAGCAAGGGAGGCCGCTGCAAGGGAGGAAGCCTGGGGGGGACACCCAAGGCTGCACCCCAAGAAGCCAACACCCAGACCCGGGTTACCTGAACGTGGGAAAGGAGCCCGGATCTCAGCCCCGCCTCGGGACCTGCATCTTCCCCGCTGCTTCTGCTGCCATCATCACCACCTTCCGCAGGTACAGCTTCTCCGGAGGGGCGGGGCCACAGGGAGAGCAGGGCTTGTGACGTCAGACAAAGGGGGCTGGGCCATCCCCTTCTCGACCCCGCCCCTTAAAGCGCACTTCATTGCACAAGGGATTTTTTTAAAAAAACAAATTATGATGATTAGGTTTTATAACTGGACAGTCAAGGATGCATCCCAAGTACCATTAACTGGGGCTGATGGGTTGATAGGGGTTGCTGCCAGCGTCCTAGGGATCAACAATTATCTTCTTCAAATGATGATGATGATGATGATGAATAAAGTAAATACTAATAACAATAATGATGATGATGATGATCCGGGCCGAAATTGTGTAATATTTTTTAATAATTTTAAATTTTGATGTTTGTATATTTTTTGTTTTAAAATGGCTGTACACCGCCCCGAGTCCTTCGGGAGAGGGGCGGTATAGAAATAAAATTATGATGATGATGATGATGGTTATCATCATCATCATCATCATCATCATTATTTACTTTCTTCATCATCATTATTATGATATACTTTATTCATTAAACATGAAACTCAGCCAACTGAACATTCAAAAATGCATCACAAATATCGACTGGCTCTATTATTATTATTATTATTATTATTATTATTATATACTTTATTTATTAAACATGAAACTCAACCAACTGAACATTCAAAAATGCATCACAAATATCGACTGGCTCTATTATTATTATTATTATTATTATTATTATTATTATTATTATTATATACTTTATTTATTAAACATGAAACTCAACCAACTGAACATTTAAAAATGCATCACAAATATTGACTGGCTCTATTATTATTATTATTATTATTATTATTATTATTATTATTTACTTTATTCATTAAACATGAAACTCAGTCAACTGGACATTTAAAAATACATCACAAATATTGACTGGCTCTATTATTATTATTATTATTATTATTATTATTATTATTAACTTTATTCATTAAACATGAAACTCAGTCAACTGAACATTTAAAAATGCATCACAAATATCATTGACTGGCTCTATTATTATTATTATTATTATTATTATTATTATTATTTACTTTATTCATTAAACATGAAACTCAGTCAACTGGACATTTAAAAATGCATCACAAATTATTATTATTATTGGTTAATCTTTAGTGAGATTCACAGCCTTTGAGGCTAGTTAATAGCTCAGCAGCTCGAGTCCTAACCAAGGACCTAGGAACGGTTAAGGTATCGTCGGAGGATGTCAGCTGTTCCGAGTAAGGTGGTTTTTTGTAGAGTCAAAATGTTCAAGTCCGGTAAATTTAGAATTTCTAATTTATTTATTTGTTTATTTATTTATTTATTTTTATTATTTTTATTATTATTATTATTATTATTATTATTATTATTATTATTATTATTGAAGAGCCTTGGTGGTGCAGCGGACTAAGTGCTGTTATGTAGCACTTAGCTGCCAGCTGCCTGCAATTAGTGGGAGTTCAAATCTCACCAGGCTCAAGGTTGACTCAGCCTTCCATCCTTCCGAGGTAGGTAAAATGAGAACCCGGATTGTGGGGGCAATAAGCTGACTTTGTATAAAAAAGAACACCGCTTAGGTGGGGCCCAAAAGCCCTACTAAGCAGGTATAAACAAAAGAATGAAGGTTATTGCTATAAGTGCATTGTAAGCCGCCCTGAGTCTTCGGAGGAGGGCGACATATAAATTGAACTAATAAATAAATACATTATTATTATTATTATTATTACTACTACTACTAAGGCAACTGGACTTTCTGGTTATTCTTTGAAGAAGAAGAAATAACCCAACCTGTCAAACCAGTTTGCTTATTGCTTAGGAAATGGGTGGAAGGAGAAGCCGCCACATTTATTGCATCATTTGGGGTGAGAAGATCAGCCCTAAACATTGTATAAATAATAAAAATAAATAGGAAGCTTCCTGCCCAGAGTAGTAGGAATGAAGAGAAATTCCTAATTTTATTTTGAATTTTATTATACATTTTTTTCTTTAAAGTACATAAGTGCTTAATAAACAGTGCATTGTCTGGATCAATTTACTTACGCAATACTACTACTAATAATAATAATTATGTTCAGTTGACTGAGTTTCATGTTTAATGAATGAAGTATATATAGTAATTGTAGTAATACTACTAATGTTTGCTTATGTATCATCCAATTCTTGCATCCTTTGCTTCTACGCATCAGTGATCTTTTAACTTCCAATTTCTAACTCTTTATCTAACCATCGATAAAACAAACTCCATGTTAAAAAGCATTCCGCTTCTTCCTTATCTTTTATGATCGCCAGTCTATCCATCTCCGCACTTTCTAATATTTTTCTAATTATATTGGGCAAATACAATTCTTGCAGCTGTCAACATATGTATTATTAAATATGCAATCCCTTTATGGTAGTTTTTTCTGGTAATATACCTAAAAAAAGAAAAAAGAAAAACCAGAAAGAGAAATTCCTAATTTTGTATCCGTGGGCAGTTTGTGTGTGTATGTGTAAGCAGTGGATTCCCATCCTTGGTTGAAAATGCTGCCTTGTCAATTGCATAAAAGGAATAAAATCAGAAGCTTCCCGTGAATTGAAGTTAGAAATGGAGAGGAAATTCCCTGTTTTGAACCCAGGGCAGCAAGGAAAGCTGCAGATTTCCAGGTTTTTGGTTTTTTTTAAATGCAGATTTTGCTGCAGAACTGAGTTTTTTTTTTATTGTTTTGCTTTCCTTTTGTCGGTAGTGGATTTGCTTTAATGCCGGGCAAGATGACCGAGGGAAGGAATGAATGAATGAGCGAATGAATGAATGAATGAACGAATGAATGAATATTTCCAATTTCTAGGAAAAGCTCATCCCATCCAATAAAAAGGGGGGGGAAACATCTGCATCCCTGCAGATGTTGTAGCTCTCCTCCCACCCAGGATTGTTACTTATTTATTTACTGCAGGGATCTCCAACCTTGGCAACTTTAAGCCTTGGCGGACTTCAACTCCCAGAATCCCCCAGCCAGCAAAGCAAAGCAAAGCTGGCTGGGGAATTCTGGGAGTTGAAGTCCGCCAAGGCTTAAAGTTGCCAAGGTTGGAGACCCCTGATTTAGTGTATGGCAACCTTAAGGTTGAGCCTTAAGATATTTAAAAAAGGGCTTCTGTGGGGGGGGTTTCCTTCCTGAGCAGCTAATACTGCCCTCACAACAACCCTGCCAGGTAGGCTGGTTTGGGAGGAGAGAAAGGAAAAAAAGGCGGGTCAGAAATGACAGGCCTCATCTCCATGGCAACGGGAGCCGGACCCCCCCCGGGGTGGCGGGGTTTGTATGCGCGCGCCTCCTTCCTCCCGCCCACGTTCCAGCCGCCGGCGCGCCGATTGGCCGAGCGCTGAAGCTGAGAGGGGGGGCGGGACCGGAAGCGGCGGCCGGGGTTGCCATGGGGGCGGCGGCGGCGGCGGGGAGCCGGGCCCGGTGCCGGTGCGGCGGGAAGGGGCGAGCCCGGCTGGACCCTTGCGGGGGGCTCTGCCTCCTCCTCACCTACCTGAGCGTGGGCTACGCCGATTACGTCATCCTGGAGCACATCCTGCTCCAGGCCGGCTTCCGGGACAGGTAAGCCCGCCCTTGGCCCTCTGCACATGCTCAGGAGGCGCCGGGTTTGGGGGGGGGGTTTCTTTCCCCCGGAGTGGGATGGGGCTTCTCGGTCTCTTTTTATGGGAGGGGAAGGCAATGATTAGGTGGGGTGGGGGGGTGGGGGAAGGAGCCCTCTGCACGTGCTCAGGAGCTCAGGGACCTGGCAAGAATTTGCCCTCTGTATATGCTCAGGAACTCAATGACCCTAGGAGAAAGAAGACGCCGTCTACACATGCTCAGGAGCTCAATGACCTAGGAGGAGAAAAATGCTCTCTGCACGTGCTCAGGAGCTCAATGACCTAGGAGGAGAAAGATGCTCTCTGCACATGTTCAGGAGCTCAATGACCTAGGAGGAGAAAAATGCTCTCTGCACGTGCTCAGGAGCTCAATGACCTAGGAGGAGAAAAATGCTCTCTGCAAATGTTCAGGAGCTCAATGACCTAGGAGGAGAAAATGCTCTCTGCACGTGCTCAGGAGCTCAATGACCTAGGAGGAGAAAATGCTGTCTGCAAATGTTCAGGAGCTCAATGACCTAGGAGGAGAAAATGCTCTCTGCACATGTTCGGGAGCTCAATGACCTAGGAGGAGAAAATGCCCTCTGCACATGTTCAGGAGTTCAATGACCTAGGAGAAAAAATGCTGTCTGCAAATGTTCAGGAGCTCAATGACCTAGGAGGAGAAAATGCTGTCTGCACGTGCTCAGGAGCTCAATGACCTAGGAGGAGAAAGATGCTCTCTGCACATGCTCAGGAGCTCGGAGATCCAGAAGGAAGGCCCCTTCTGCACTTGCTCAGGAGCTCACTGACCTAGCAAGAAGGTGCCTTCTGCACATGCTCAGGAGCTCAGTGATCCAGAAGGAAGATGCCTTCTGCACATGTTTAGGAGCTCACTCACCTAGCAAGAAGGTGCCTTTTGCACATGATCAGAAGCTGAGTGATCCAGAGGCGAGATGCCTTCTGCACATGCTCAGGAGCTCACTCACCTAGCAAGAAGGTGCCTTTTGCACATGATCAGAAGCTGAGTGGCCTAGGAGGAGAAAGATGCTGTCTGCACATGTTCAGGAGCTCACTGATCTAGGAGGAGAAAATGTTGTCTGCACATGCTCAGGAGCTCAGTGATCCAGAGGGAAGATGCCTTCTGCACATGTTCAGGAGCTCGGAGGACCAGAAGGAAGGAGCCTTCTGCACACACTCAGGAGCTCAGTGACCTAGGATGAGAAAGATGCTTTCTGCACATGCTCAGGAACTGGGTGATCCAGAAAGAAGATGCTGCCTGCACATGCTCAGGAGTTCACTGATCTAGGAGGAGAAATATGCTCTCTGCACATGTTCAGGAGCTCCGTGACCTAGCAGGAGAAAGGAGCTCTCTCCACGTGTCCAGGGGGGTTCGCTGATTTCGGAGGAAGATCCTCTCTGCACGTGTTCAGGAGCTCGGTGATCCAGAAAGAAGCAGGTCAGGTGCCTTCTGCACATGCTCACTGGCTCAAATCAGCCGAACGGGTCGAAAGTATAGGGCGGTATAGAAATCTGAAAAATAAACAAACAAACAAACAAACAAACAAACAAACAAATAAATAAATATCCCCGTTTCCAATCTGCAATCAGATAATAAGAGATGGGAGGATTATTTTAAAATATTGAACATCTGTTCAGAGCAGAGGGTGACCAGGTGGTGGCGCTAAACATCTTTGCAATATGTGCATAAACTTATAATATTCATTTTAATCGTTCTTCTCTTTTATTTCCAGCTTCTGGTGTCCTTTCCATGCCGTGGCTTTTAACCTCGTCCTTCTGATGCTCCTGATCTGTCACACCAGGGCTGTGTTTGCCGATCCAGGTGACCATATTTTGCAAAAAAAATTATTGCACCCAGGCAGTCATAACTCCAGTTGTTGTGCTGAGGTTGTGTGTTGTTTAGTTTTCCTGCTAACTGGCGAACCCAGTTCAAGTTTTGCATAATGTATTTGGTGGCCCATGAAACATTACTGGCTGGCTTGATCCCATCCTCTTAGTTTTTAATCGAATTTCGGTTTTAATTGGGTTGTTTTAAATTCGGGCCAATATTATTTAATTGTTTTTTTAAAATGTTTTTAAATTTTATATGCTATGTTTTATCCTGGCTGTACACCGCCCTGAGTCCCGCAGGAGAAGGGCGGTATAGAAATATAATAAAATAAATAAATAAATAAATTACAACAATTCGTTTAGCGACCGAAGTTACAACAGTCCCTGAAAAAAGGGACTTAATGACCATTTTTCACATGGTCGTTGCAGCGTCCCCCAGGGTCACGGGGTCAAAATTCAGACGCTCGGCAACTGACTCGTATTTATGACGGTATCCTGGGCTCACGCGATCTCCTTTTGCGACCTGGGGGGAAACCAGATTCACTTAACAACCCTGTGACGGACTTAACAACTGCAGTGATTCACTTGACAAGCGTGGCAAGGAAGGTCATAAAACGGGGCAAAACTCAACGGTCTCACTTAGCGACAGAAAGTTGGGGGCTCCATTGTGGTCGTAAGTCGAGGCCCAAAGCTAACCAGTGGTGATTTTCCCTCCGGTTGGTAACTTAGGGCAATCTTTTCCAAACTCGAAACAACTTTAATATATGTGGACTTCGACTCCCAGAATTCCTCAGCCTGCTTGCAAACGCATTTAAAGGCATGCTGGCTGGGGAATTCTGGGAGTTGAAGTCCACCCATCTTAACACTGCCGATGTTAAGATGTACTAAATAAATAAAATCCATATTGCAATGTTTTTGGGGTTTTTTTTGCTGATCTTTCACTGCTCGCTCAGCGTTGAACTGGAGTCCTTGACTTTTAGGAACCGGATTTATTGTCATTTCAACAATTTCAGTTTATGCATCTTTAGAAAGTGGGTTTTTTAAAAAAAAAAAAAAAAATCTGCAGTCTGATCAAGTACTTTTATTTTTCTATTTTTTAAAACACTTTTTGCTTACACTTACACTTTTTGCTTTTTCTTTGATTTCTTTTCCTTTCTGCTTACTACTAAGAATGGAATGGAATGGAATGGAATGGAATGGAATGGAATGGAATAGAATAGAATAGAATAGAATAGAATAGAATAGAATAGAATAGAATAGAATAGAATAATGGAATGAACGAATAGAATAGAGTAGAGTAGAGTAGAATAGAATTGAATAATGGAATGAAGGAATAGAATAGAATAGAATAGAATAGAATAATGGAATGAAGGAATA